CTGGGAAGGAAGAGGAAGGGAGGAGCCAGACACTGAGATCACTCACCAGCTTTCCATAGGAAACCAGGGTAAAAACAGCTTCCCCACGAGCTGCTCTTTCTCTCAAGTCAAGGCTGCCTAAAAACTCTCCCCAAAAATACATTGCAGCAAGTTATGAAGTAATTAGCTAATTTTTTTTTTTCATTTAGATGCTCATTGTTAACAGCTGCACATCATGATTATTTACAACCTGTGATTAAAGAAATGAAAACCACAAATGAGAACCTTTTCAGTATCGTTACAAGGAGCTTTGAGCTGTGTGGCTCAGAAGTTGTGCACAAAAGGAAAAGGATTGATATAAGTGGATTTTAGCTCTCACACAGACCCCGTTAAAGGTCACTGTATGAGCACAGCTGGGGCAGTGACAGCTGCAATACACAGGCAGGCAGTGAAAGCAAGCAGAAGGTATAAAGAGCCCTCGGGCTGGAACTTTTGGAGCTGATGGAGGCAGAGGAGGCAAGGATGATTTCAGGCTGTGGCAGTCTCAGCATTCTCATTTGCCGCGGAGAGGACAGGATTTACTCTGGGAAGATCGTTCTGACCTCTGCTGGTCCCCTCAGGCAAACCAAGCAGAAACCTGGAGGCAGGCCAGGAATTCTCAAGGGCTGAGCACATGGGGAAACGCTGACCACATCTGCTCCTACCAACTCATTCAAGGAACGCCACTCATATGACCTCCTTCCAGTTTACTTCTGCTCCACACTCACATAAAAAAAATTAGTTTCTAGCCCTGAAATTTGCTCCTGGGGCTGCCCAGGTCCTTCCACAAGCCATGTTCCAGCCTCTCTCTCCCTGATGCAGATGCCCCAGCTCATCACTCTTGCCCCTTGGCCTGCTCTCATTGCACAGGCATGGCTGGGACAGCTTCCACTGGAGAGCTGCTTCACAAAGGGAAAAAAGCCAGTTTCCTTCACAACAAAGGGGCTGGGCCCCTTCAGCACTAGGGAATGTCACACCTGAGTGGCTCCGCAGGCTTGCAGACAGTGGCATTTCAGACTGGGTGAAAAGCTCTCACAAAAAGCTGTCCCTTGTGTTGCAGCTTCCCCCCCATCACACCAACAGAAGGAGGGCTGGGAGGCATCAGTGTGGTTTCCCACTAAGTACCAGGCACAGAGACCAAAAGAGGCCCTTCCACTGCCACCAGGAGCTGTGGCCACACAAGTAGGTAAAACCACAGGCAAACTCAGCAAAACCAGTGGGTGGCCCCTGCTGGAAGTGATCACCTCAAGAATACGTCCTAGTGATGCTGAAATGCCTGAGAAGCTGCCAACCTGTTTCAGCTTTGAAGCCACCTTTGACATGCACTTTTTTGGTGCACGTGCTTGGCATCTGTGCCAGATGAGTTTTTTACACCATCTTTCTTTGGAAGCAAATGAGATCATCTCAGGAAGGCACAACTGCTTGTGCTGGTCCTCAGCAGAACCATGTCAGGGAAACTTGATTAAAAACAGATAATAAAGGAAACACCAGTAAACCACACCAAAACAGGCAGCAGAAGGAAAGGGAAGCAATTTCCTTGAACCAGATTTCAAGGCTAAATATTGAGTTTTTAAAAATTAAAAAACTGTCTTCTGAATGTTGCTGGCAATTCATAGACTCAATATAGGCAAAACATGCTCAACAGCCAGCTGAAAGGAGGCTGAAACTTTAATTACATCCCTACCCTACACACAGCAGACAATAGGACAAAACCAAGGTCAGTTTTAACCAGCCATCAAATCACAGTTGTGTTAGGCCATAAGGCAAGGACACACATATTTCCTGCTAGCAGATGCCAGGAGTCTGGGGATAACATGGACGCAGCTTCTCCACAGAAGCCAGTACTGGTGAGTCAGGGAAGCTGGGGAGAACAGCACACACCATCCCCAGAGGACACTGCACTCAGAGGAAGGGCACACTTTGAGCATTCAGGTCTGGGCCAGCTTTATCAAGTCCAGCAATGAGACACCTCCCTTTTTCAACAGCAACAACACTGCTATCTGCACAGCCCTGGCGAGGGCCAGCGACTCTGGGGACACCTCACAGATGTGCCCATGCCCCAGGTCAGGTTGTGAAACAGGGGCTGAACCCCCGAGCGTAGGTGCTGGTCCACTGAGCTCGGGCTGGGGAGCTTCTCCAGGCTCTCTGCAGCAAAGGGAAGGCTCTTGCCTCCCCACCCAGGTAGCACCAGCAGTGACATCCCACACGGACACACTCGTACAGCCGTGCGGGGCTGTGTGTGCCCATACAGAATCCTTCAGAGTGAGGTGGGTGGGATGGGTGTGTCTGGTCTCTGGGCACAGTGCCTACGCCAACATAAAGCCTATGCATGAAGCAGACCTGGAATGGAACATGGGCGGACTTAACCATTCCCTCTGGTGTCCTCAACTCTCAGACCACAAGAAAACGAGTGCCACAGTCTTGTTGGTCACCAGGATTTTATTTTATAGCACAAAACGGGTTCTGGGCTTACCTTCCCAGACATGCGACATGGGCTGATGTCCCGCCGTCCATCACTTGTCTCCCTCATCGCTGCCAGCCTCCCCCCACTGCTATCAGCCGCTCCCCATCGCTGCCATCCATCTCCCACGATTCCAGTCTCCCCCATCCCGGTCAGCCGCTCCCCATCGCTCCAGCCGCCCCCCACGCCCGTCCCCAGCCGCGTTGTGGCTCTCGGGGGCGGGCACGGCCCCTCCACGGGGCCGCCGAACAAAGCGCGGCTCGGGGGCTCCGCCGCTGCTCCCGCGGAGGAACGGGACGGGACGGGACGGGACGGGGCCGGACGGAACGGCGGAGCGGCCACGAGTCACGCCGGCCCCGAGCACGTTCCTTCCTTCCCCCGCGCCGGCGAACTCACCCTCCTTGGCTTTCTTCTTCCTGGCCAGGGTCCCGCCGAGCTTGCCCAGGAACGACTCCTCTTTCTTCATCCTGTGCGGCCTCAGCGTCGGGGACCGGACGGGCGCGGCGGACATCGGCTCTGCCGGTGGCTCGCCGTGGGAGCCCGCCCGGCCCTGCCCGATCCCACCCGGCGGCTGCGGGGCCCGCGGGGCCCAACCAAATCCGGGAACGGGGAATCACTGGCCCGAGCGAGCGGGGCGAGCCCGCGGTGTGCGCTCGCAGCACTGGGGGCGGGCTGGGAGCCGCCGCAGCCACAGCGCCCTGCCACGGCCGGGAAGTCCGCGGGAGGCGGGGGCGGGCCGAGCCTCGGACACCCCCGGGTGCCGGGGGCGGGCACCGAGCCCACCCGAGCATCGCCTGCGGCCAGGCGGGCGGGCCCCTCCGTGCACCGGACCCACGCGGGTGCCAGGAAAAATGCATTGCGGCAAAACAACACCTCCGGTCCCACCACAGCCGGAGTGGTGTAAGGCTTGAAAGTACAAAAAGGCCAAATTTGAAATGACGTCCTTTAAGAACAGTTTTCTATAGTCCATATTTTGCAACAATTGGACACAACTGGAGGCAAACGCTCAGCATGTGCCATTTGTCAAGGCACAGCAATTCCTTGCTGGCTTCATTCAGGTGTGCCGCCTGATTTTGCAGCCATGCGCCTCTTCTGTCAGACCAGCCTGCCTTCTCCTCCTGGCATGTGGTCGGTCAGGTCTGACCTCTCCTTTGTGGGAAGATCGAGAAGAAGGGGCCGTAGGCTCTGTGTTTGCCAAGCCACCACCTCCCAGGTGTCCCCGCACTGCTGCTGCCATCAGCACGGTGTGTGTGCGCAGAAATGCCCCAAACCATACTCGGTTGTGATCCCACAGGTATTCTGTATCATTTCACAGCAGCATGATAAGTGGGTTGTGGAATACACGTTAAAAACAGGTCCTGAGGAGTTCATAGTGTTAGGCTCTGGTCATGTTTAAGCCCCTGAAGTGATCCCACCGATTTTAACGGGACTGCTGGGTCCTCAAAGTCACACGCACCCTTTGTCTGTGCTGTGTCCCTGTCGGCAGCCCTTGCCCCAACAAAGGACTCCCTTCAAACCAACACAGCTTGGCTCAGGAGCTGCACACCCAGCTTATATGGGGCAGATTTGCAGGCTTGACTTAGAAGCAGGACACATCCAGAGCAGAATGTAGCAGAGACAATTTTCTGAGTTTCACTCAAGATCCAACCCCAGCTAATCCCCTCTGTCACCCAGACCAACTCTGTCCCTCACCTCCAGCTGCTTTTCTACAGTCACTTTGGCAACTAAAAGAAAAACCCAACAAACAAAACCCACAATCACCCAGCCCAAGCTTTCCAGTGTGACTGAGCATGAAGTCACCCAAGGGCAAGTGCCAGCAGAAGGGAAGTGGAGAGCACACAGGACCAGGCTGGAAAAGCTCTTTTGAATGGCAGTGCACACTTCTGTGAACTTTATTGGAACTGCTGCTTTGGAACAACAAATAAATTTCATTTCCTGTGACAACAGTGTGTTGCCTGCAGCAGAGGCTTTTAGACTGCAAATGAGAGTTTACCAGGGGTATGATCAATACCATTTACAAAACCACTTTGCAAAATTAAATAATTAGAAAGGACATCAACTGCATTCTCCTGGCATAAGCCACGTGAGATCTTTTACAAGTTCAAGGTCCATTTTCAGTTTATCAATAACCTGAATTCATACAAAACCCACACATTAATGTTGATCTCCAACAGGACTAGTAGGGTGGATATTTTCATTTCAGAAAATGCATACTGAAGCCTTAGATTACATGTAGCTTTAAGGCAGTGTGGAAAAGGTATTTTATCCAATCTCTGGGGGAAAAAAAGCCCCATAAAAAATCAATCCATTCTCATACCAGATTTTTTAAAATGAAATTACAATCAGAAAATGTACAAGTGCAAACTTTGAGCAAGAAAGCAAACTGGTTAATTTACATACGTGGAGCAAATGGTAAATAAAACTTTACTGATTCCAGTACAGCACTCAAGATGTAACCACTTAAAAGAAAGACTCTTTTAATAATTGAAATAAAGCCACACAGATACATCCATCCACCACCGACTTTGATGTCCTATCTATTTATAAAATGCTACAATGTACAGCTAAGTAGAAAAAGCACTCAGACTATTGCAAAGAAAAAAGGGAGGTGGAGTTGTTTGAGACAATAGAGAGCCCATGGCAAAAAGAAGTCAAATTACACTTCAGAAACACCAAAACAAAATCTGGAGCCTTGCAAAGACTCATCAAATGAATAGGGCTCTTCTAAACAGGAAATTAAGAACTTCCACAGCTGCTTTGATCAGTGTTAGTGTGCAGTGATTTAACTGGCTAATAGCCACTAACAGGGACACAGCTGCTGCTGCACCAGGTCAGTGGCCTGCAGCTCAGAGCAAGCCCAGTTACATGGTTTAAACTCTCCATGATGAATGAGATACCAGCCCTCTGCAGCCAGAAAATTTTCTCTGGTACCTTCCTCCCATTAGGGATGAGATTTCTATGTATTTCTATAAGAATATATTCATTATTCCAATAATGAGTATATTCTCATTAAAAAAAAAAAAAACAACCAAAAACTGCCAGAGCATAAACGTGTAATTTGAGAGAATTACACTAAAAAACTAAGCCTTGTTTAAAATCTGTTTTTATTTTCAGCACTGAACTGCTACTTTGATATTTAGCTGAACACTGAAAAGTCTGAATCCACATCTGCTCATTTTAACATTGCTCACCTTTTTGATAGAGGTGTTGCTTCCTTTATTTTAACCTCATAGCACCTTATACTGCTTTCAAAATTTTAGACCACCTGAGGTTACTGTAATTAGATATATCACAAAACAACAGTGACATTGAATAGATGGTCTCTCTTCGTCAGATATTGAAGCAAGGCAAACCCAGCCACTTCTTAAACCAGCAAATCATTGAAGTCTTGTTCTATTATAATACCACCTATACTGACTTTGGATATAAACTTTAAAGAGACAAGATACAGTTAATTTTTCTTTCTGGTCTGCCAGATAAATGAAAATGTGTTGGGGGTGTGATCGCTGGTGTTTGGGTTTGCTGTGTTGTTTGGGGTTTGTTTTTTTTTTGGGGGGGGAATGGGGTAGGGTTAATAATGTTATTTATTAAATACTGAGGCAGGAATGTACTACCTAACTGATGCCACTGATTTACTTCAGGGTGCCTTCTCTTACGTATTCTATTTAACTGAAAAGCTTTTACAAAGACAATTTATCCCATGCAGACATTGGCTCTGGGTTGCATTTTTTGCTTGACATGAGAAGAAAGCACAGGATACATTCAGCACAGTGTCTCATCCCAATTACAGTAAAATCACCCAACAGCATTACAGTTGCTAACAGCGATTTAGCACTGCTCTCACAAAACACACATCCACTATCTCAACAAGTTTGCCATGGTTGAGAAGCTGTGAAAAAATTCTCCTGGAAGATTCCTACTGAATCTGTGGCTGCAAGTTCCAGCCCTGTTGAAAACAAGACAAGAATAGCAGAACAAACTATAGTGTACACTCAAATTCTGTAATTTTGGGGTTATTTTCTTATGCTCTCCCATACAAAGTTTTGGATAATCTTCGTGATATCTGACCAACTCCTTAACAGTCCTACAAAGGACTCATGGTGTTTTCTTTCCCCCTAAGACCACAGTAAAAATTCACTTTTTCATGTGAGTGCTCACCCAGCCCAGGGAAGGGAGAGCCAACCTGACCCCTGCTCACTTTTCTGTGTTTGATCACACATGGGATAGTCTTGGGACACTTCTCTCGAAGGGCATAACAAGGACAGTTGTTTCTATACAAATGCCTGACAAAACCAGCAGGTATTTTGCAAAGGTAGGAAGTACTAAACCTTAGTTTAGTACACCTCTGCAAAGACTAGCAGTGAGATGTGTGAAAAAAGGCACAGTGACAGCAAAGATACTTATGCTGAAGCATGCTTCTGTATTATTGAGGTTAACACTGGAATTTATTTTTAAACCTTGTATTTTCAAATCAAATACAGTTATGGCCTTAATACGGCAGCAAACCTGCCCCTTATACATTCTCACAGCATCCCAGTTTCCTCTTCCACCTTCACCCAAGCCCTACAGAAACTTACTCATTACCAGTACCTGAGAACACCAGATCTTCCAAATACAAAGAGCAATTTCAACTTTTTTTTTGTACAAGCAGAACAGCTGGAAACCACCCACGGTCTTAGAAGTGGTGATGGAAATATTTCCCATACTTCTGATATGTTACTGCCACCTTCTCACAGGCTCGTGGGTGCCCTGACACATCACTGAGACACTTCAAACCTTGTACCAAAACAATCCTTTCCTCCCCAGGCCTCCCTCAGTCCCCAGAAAGGGCTGCAAGCAGTGAATTAAGACTACAGCTGAAGGCACTCTGCCAGCCTGGTGGGACCTACAGCCTCAGCGCTGCTCACATGAAACCAGGAGGCCACGAGCACATTCCAGGTATGCTGTCTGGGGACACTCCTTGCCACCTTGCTCTCCCCAACATTGACATGCCTGAAAAGCAAGAGCACCTTCACTACTCCACAGGTAAACTGATATCCAAAACTGTCCATTTAAACAAACACCAAGCTTCTGAATCACAGCTCTGACTGTAGGCCTTACTCCTTTTATCCTTTCAACTCTGGCCAAACACAACCATGAAGAACATGGATTCAGATCTGCCCAAAGCTGTTCTCCCACTGAACACTATGGCAGCTTTTACTGGAATTCTGATTTCTACCTTATCCATTTTAAGTATCTGGGCCTCCGCAGCAAAATTTAAATGGAAATATATTAATCATACAATATTACATAGAAGTAACCACATAATTCAGATGCTTTTTCCAGAGGAATTAAGATGTACTTGCTGTACTGGATAGCTTTTGTGCACTTGTGGTATGCCATAAGAAAATGTTACTTTTCAACCTAGTACAAAGCCAGTATGAAAGCAGTGATGCAGGTGGAGCCTCAAGGAATATGATTTTGCTCTTGTTATCCAACTGGACAATTCTCTGGCGAGTGGCACAGCGAGGTCTGTCTGAACATGTGCTCAAAAGAAGCCTTCAGCAGTTTCTTCCATTCCTCCCTTGATGCCCACAGAGCTCTCTCAAAGCTTCATTGTGGCCGGGCATGGTGTGTGGTGTGCATACTGAGTTCGGGGCTCTCCCTAGGCCTGCTCAACACAGAACACTACTGAGCCCTCTCAAACAGCCAGCTGAGCTGAGGGTCTTGTGTCATAATGAAGTATGGCACTTGAGCAGCCTTCAGTAAAACACAATGTGCACAAGATAGAACTCTTAAGGCAGCAGAATGCAGATAACTTTGAACTCCGAGGAAAAAACCCCAATAGTATTTTAGTATCTAAACATTCACATGAAAAATACTTTTATATGTCAAAATGTGGGTAGCGCTGGAAAAAGCAAGTAACATTTGTTGACATTCTGAACATAGTTTCATATTCTATCTCATAACAACAAAACAATCATCAAAAATGCTAGGTTAAATATGTACTTGCTAGAGTATCTGTTAGATAAACACACTGAAAAAGTTTTTTTTAGATCAAATTTTGCTATTTGAAACAGCTGACTTCTGTCATTCATACCATTTTGAACATCTGTAAGACCAGTGCTGCTAAGGGGGGAAGGATGTTTAATCAAGTAGAGCTCTGAAAATCCAGACAGTCCAGTATGTAGCCTTCATATTTTAGAGAATTATCTACTAAACCAGATTTAGTTACTGTATTACACCAACAGCAACACATACCAATGCTAAAGCAATGTATAAAACTGTGTTCTCTTTAAAAAGGGTAGTGTTTGAGTGCTGACTTGATTAGAATGAGCTTTCATGGCAGTCTTGATCTTTTCAGCAAACTCAAGCAGAGCACCAGCATGTCCAAAGCTGTCTTTAGCTGAGCAGAAAAAAAACCCCAGGAGTTTAACAGCTCATGTATTTATGTTCTGCTCCTCCAGAATCTTCTTTGTATTGTGATTTTAAACCTGCCAACACTTAACAACAAAAAAAAAGTGAATGTAGATACAGGGAAAGTGCACTCCAAGTTCATATTCCCACAGCATGACCACACAGGGTTGATACACATAAAAATAATCAGTATGCAACTACCTCCAAAGATGCTAGGACTGAAGTAGTGACTAAGTCCGTCTTTATAAACTGGATTATATCCCAAGTGATAAAGTCAGAGGTGACTTGGAGATGAAATTAGCATCTCAACAAGTCAGGAGAAAGGCACAAAGAGAAACCAGGTAGTTCCACATGTTTGTATCTCTGGAGTCACTTTTTGCAACTGCTACAAAAAGCTGCTTTTGCAAGACATAAATCAACAGCTTTGGTGAGAGCATTAAAACACCCAAAGTTGAGAGCCCTGAACCTTTCAAAATTCTAATTTTAGTATTTACTGTGCTAGACAGATGACTTGAATTTTTACAGTATGCAATTCACATTTTAGGCATTTAAACAGAAATTATTTATAACTGAAATGTATTTAAATCAGAACATTTTGATTCATTTAGAACTATTAAAATGGTATAATTTTTGACTTGTAACAGCTTTTTCAAGGACTTGTGGTTGGAGGAGGGAAGGCTGTACAGACCAATAAAACTATAATGATGTGAACTATATCCAAGAACCAGTATCTGACAAAACCCTAATACTTTAAGTAAAAACCAAGAACTAAAAGCTATAAGATAGACTCCTACAAACACTCTCCCATCTTTGATAAGAATCAGAAGTACAATGAACCTTTAGAGCATAATTATTTAATAGTTTCTTGTGGAGTCCAAGAGGTAAATCACTCAGCTATGTATCTGCATTTCAAGGAAAAAGGACCATTTTGTATTATGTTATAGTCTTGATTTCATCTCCAAAGCACAATTTCATTCCATGATGTAAAATATTTCTGTATTATAGAAATCTTATTCCTGCTCCAAACTGAACACCATCACATATCCTGAAAAGAAACAAACAATAAACAATGTAAGTGATACATAAATTACTAATGAAATGAAAATAAATTCTCCCTATCCCAAATTCCAAAGGTTTTAGCTGACAAAGTTTTTTTTTAAAATAATTTTTCTGACAATCTATCATCTGTATGGATCATTTATATTTCCAAATAAAGCCATAATTTGGAATTGCTATTATACATTCACACTGTTCACAGAAACAATCCTCCTCCTGTATGAAAGACTGGATATCTCACACAATACTCACAGAGAAGAAAAGGCTTCCTGAAGCTTTTTACTGCATATTATAGTATTTGTTTGATGCAGGATAATTGGTTGCGAACAAATTAATTTTTTTTCTTCTTTTCTCTTTATCTATAAACTTGTTTTTGTTTTTCAAGCAAACAAATTAAACTAGGTATTTATCAAAGACAGCAAATCAGGTATTTATTTATCCAATCATTTGGGTTTAGAAGGCTTAAGAACACCCCACAAGCTGTTTAAGTGATCACTTCCCCATGAGAAATGAAGATGCTGCACAGCTATTTGCACTTATCAAGAGCTGCTCTCAAGGTAAATGAACTGTGGCACTTGGGAGGCAAAGTCTTAACCCAGCTGTGCAACCAAAGTGAATAAAGCGGGGTGGGAAAGCAGCACCGAGATGTCTCTGTTGGTATGGACTAAACAAACCCACACGGCACAACTCCCTCTGAGAAAGCAGACAGGAGTGCAGGAACCTTTGCAGAAGCTGGTGTGCCAAACCAACCTGTCTCCAGCCTGTACTCCCATGGGAAAGCAGTAGTTGAGCTCGAGCCTGGCTATGTTTCCCAGGCGCAACACTATTCCTGTGCCATAAGACCAGCGGATGCACTCTGCCAGTCTCTGCAGGTGTGCCCTGGGACCATCACCTGCAGTCAAACAGCAACGGATGAGTAGCATAACAAGAGAGCATAACTAGAATAAAAATACTGCTATTTCAGTTGCATTGTTGGCTGGTCTCTATGTCCCATTCTAGAGCACCTACTAGCGAAAAGGAAGAAATGAGTACTAAAGACTTCAATGTCTCTACTTCTCTCCTCCAGTACTTGAAGGGAGCCCACAGGAAAAATGGAGAGAGACTAACTGACAAAAGCCTGGAGTGACAGAACAAGGGGGAATGGTGTCACACTGACAGAGGAGGGTTAGATTGGATATGAGACAGAAATTCTTCCCTGTGAGGGTGCTGAGGCCCCAGCACAGGTTGCCCAGAGAAGCTGTGGCTGCCCCATCTCTGGAACTGTCCAAGGCCTGGTTGGATGTGGCTTGCAGAAACCTGGGATAGTGAAAGGTGTTCCTGCCCATGGCAGGTGGGAGAACAAGATGAGCTTTAAGGTCCCTTTCCACCCAAACCATTCTGGGACCCTATTCTATGATTTAGTGGGTCTCTACTATTTTTAAGTCTATTGAATTATCTCCCTCCCATACAGATGTCACCTTTCTTATATCAAGTGAGCCAGACATCAAATATCACAAATATCACATTCTAAAACTGACTGAAATCATATTGAAAAGTCATACATTAATACACTGAAATATATCCTGAAGAGAGTTAGGGATGGGAGGAAAAAGAGTCCATCAGCTATCACACCCCCATCTAATGCCACTGCTTTTTCTTTAGTTCATCCCAGTAAACACCAGAACCCTACTAAAACATTATCTTTCCTTCTCCCTTCAGAATGGTGTACGATAGCAAGTGTTAGTTACACACTGGTCTGCAAACACCAACTGTTCATCAACACTACCTTTACTCTCCTGGCTCTCTTTCCTGCAAATTGTGCTGCAAATTATGGAGAGAGCTAAATAAACTACTGGCAATCTGTCAAATATATAAGTTAAAAACAGCAGGTTTTTAACAGACACCAAAATATACGTAATAAACAAAGTGCCTCTGAGTGAACACACATAGAACAACTCTTCTTTTTGCTTTCATATGAAGAGAAGAGGGTTTTAAAATTCTTTTGAATCTTACCATAGTTGAGATTGCAGAGATTTCCAGCATTAAGGAAGAAATGTGTTCGGAAAAGGTCTCCAAACCCTCCGCGGCCAGGCCGGAAAGGAAGAGGGGTGTAGAGATGCACCCCTCCAGCCCAGTAGGCTTCTCCTCCCAAATAATCACCTGTTTGGGCAAAATATTGGAATAAACATTTTAATTTTAATTTACTGTGGAACATACGGAAGGAATCACTTGTTAAAGGTACAAAAACATCCATAAGTTGTTTTACATTCCATAAGTTTATATTCCACTTCTACCCTTTACAACTCTTCCCATTTGCTTCCGACTCACTCCAAACTCACCACTATTAGTTTGAAAAACTCGAACCTCCACATTTCTTTAAACCTTCCAAGGGAAATACATTTTTCTTCCTTCCCGCACAAGAACAGCCTGAGGCATGACAGTTCATGAGAATTACTCCTGACCACCTTTGCAATACCTCCCTTGGTAATAAAAATGGGCAATTGATACAATTGAACTATTAATTCCAAAATATACTGGATATTGAATCCACTGATAACTGCAGTTCTATTCCAGATAAGGAATAGAACTGAGGAAGCTCCTGGCAATCCAAATACCTCTGCTGAGTAGATTATCTTTCCCCTAAGCTACCTGAACATAGGCTGTATCAAACGAACTGTTGCTATAACCATGTTTTGGAAACTTTTCCAGCTTGAACGTTGCTTACGAATTAAAATGACACACTGGAAGTGTGCAAGTTTAAATACACACACATGCACACACACACACACAGAGATATTTTATAAAATTAGTAATTAATCACAGCTTAACTAAGAACTACCTGGCTTTATCCCATTGTGAACTGATCTGTAAACAACGTATTGAAGCCATAACACTTCTCAAAAGTAGAGAACGAGTGTAATTATTTTCAGCTTATACAAGGACTCTCTGTGACACGCTAATATTTACAGTATTGTCAGAGGAGATGGACTTAAAAGTGTCAGACCTTCACTCTGGGGTCCAATGCTGTACATACTGAATCCACGCACACTTGTTGGTCCACCAAGGTAAAACCTAGTGAATACAGATAAATTTAATTTAATGCTTCACTTAAAGGTGATTTTATAAAAGGTTTAGTAATGTGATCTTTAAACACCAGCATCAGAAGGTAAAATTGGCTACAGAGTGAACAGAGTTACAATATGGCTTTGTGTCTGAATAAACCTATGCCTGTTACAGAATTTTGCAGGCGTTAAATACCATTTTGCAACCATAAATATGGGCAGGCAGAGCTACTACACAGCAATTTATAGATTTTTACCAGCCCAATATGAAAATTGCTTGAGTATGAACATGCAATTACAGCTAATTACAAACATTTTATTCTCCTCAGAACTACTACTGTTTTTCTCTTGCGCAGAGTTTTCTATATACAATACCTCTGTTGACTGGAAAAAAAAACCCAAACATTTAAAAAACTTGCCTGTCAGCTATACTGGATGGCTTGTCTCCAATAGGTACCAGCATTCCGCCCCAAAATGATGCTGAAACAACCTTTGGAGAGAAAAACAAGTTGTTTATTACTACTTATTCCTCAGGCAGCGCTCCCATCAGTCTCCCAGAGTTGCAGCTGCTCACATCCTGTGGATATCACACCCAATATGTCAGATTTGCAACAGGATTTTCAGGAAACTCTTGATGGCTGCTGCCCTCTTTCTTTTATGCAGTGGTGTGTCTTGAAAATGTCAATATAGCACATTTGAACCAAATGCTACTTCCACAACAGCTTAAGGGAGCACTCAGCCTCATCCAGCACCTCTTGTCTTTCACATCTAGAATTAAGACAACACTGCTGCCATCAATTATTCCTGGCAATTTGAAACCCACAGGAGACTGAGTCCAACAAGCACTTGCCAAAAATGTACAATTGTAACCTGTCTGTAAATTATAATTACATGAAACCACCTTCTGCAACTCATTATACTAACATCAAATAAACTACAGAGTTACTCTTTATCTATAAGAAGTAATTTTTGCAATTCAAGTCACTGAAATAAATAATTTAATAATTTGCTTGCTGTCTCTGTGCCAGATAGAAGTATTACTGATAGACAGTGACATCTATTGTCAATACCTCTGGGATAGAAATTATTGTAACTCCTGACTTTTAAATCTTCATGATGCAAGTTGCTGTTTAATTCCCATTCAGCTCTGAGAAAAATTTATTGCAATATCTTCATGTGATAAAAAACTTCTTTCTAAATTCAGTTAGAAACATTCCTGGGATATGCTGAAATTCTTATTTCAGTTTTTCAGTATTTCAATTCAAAATCCTATTTCCATCTAATACTAAATCACTGCTGTTGAAATCAGTCTTCCCATTTTTTCCCAATAACCTTATACACAAGGAACAATTACATGCTATGATACCAAGATGAATAGTTATATATTCAACATTTCAATTAAAAAGGAAGTTAAACCAAGATTATACAGAATATTCATGAAGGTTTAAAACTTTTAAGTTTTTCAAAAACTTCCAAGGTTTTTGAAAAATCCCTCCTAAGGAAGACCACAAGGAACAGACATGACCAACATCACTTCTGGAAGGAAAATAATTTTTATGGTTAACTGTGAAACAAGTTCTCTCCAAAATTCCCACTATTCAAGTGATTGTGCACAACAGGAACATAAAGTTAAAAATACAGATAGTCCATTTTCCAGAAAACAGAATCAAATTATCTACTCCATCCATTTTTCCCAATCTTATTCATAATCCATAGTGGAAAATAATCATAAAACATAGGTTTAATAGCCCCAGAAAAACCTCATGTCAATTACTAAAATATCTTTAAAAAGTTTACCGAATCCCAGAAAAGTTGCTTATTCAACTGAAATTCAAAATCCTCTTTCAGAAAGCTCACATCTCCACCTGTATAACCAGCCAACTCCTGCAAAGAGATAAATTTATAGAAGTTGCAACAGATATTATGTGTTTCTTTAAAAGTTCAGCATGTCTGCATCAGCACAGGCAGTATTTTTCTTTACAAGAAATACAGAAACATTAGCATGGTGAGGCAGCTGATTTTTGGACTGAGCCATGCATGAACCTCTGAGCCTCAGAATAATGAGCTGCATTTTTTTTTCTTTTCCAAATATTAAACCAAACTATTGCTTTCCAAGCCATTTTGTAAATGAAGGCAAGATAGAACGAAGCTGGAAAATGCAGCATCCAAAATCAAGACTGTATTTTCCTAGATCTGAGACGATTTCATGTGGTAAAGAAGGGCATGACACAATTTGTTATTTTCAGTTCCCGTGAAGTGACTGAACTAACTCAGTGTTAGAGGCAGGATCTAACAAATGACAGTACCTAAACCCTGAATTACAACCACTTTTCTCATTCACAACAGTTCACTGCTGCTTACTTTTAGTTCCAGTGGCATTTCAAATCTGCCTCTAAAGCACTAGAGAAATTAATGCTTCTGAAGTATTACCCATACAGCAGAAAAGCCAACTTTTAGAAAGGCTCTGACTGTAACAAGAGGGAAAAATATTTTCTCAGCCAAAATAATACATGCGTAAGCCTTGGAGAGTTACTTTTAGCCAGTCTTTAATTTTTAACTCTCAGACTTAGAAATTATGTAAGTAGCAACAGGACTACAGCCTGGCAGTCTGTGCATGACAGTGTTAAAAAAAGAAGGGCTGATTAATACCCACTGAAAGTGTAGTGCAAATACTGTCAGGGATAGTGTCTCTCAGCTAATAAATAATGCTGATGGAGAGGCTGTGCTCTTTGATTAATGCCATACAAATGAAAATTTTCCATCATAAAAAAAAAGTTTCATGATTTTAAAAGGCACACTAGGTAAACAGAAAAGGTAATTACCAGTCTGCATTGTCTCCTAATCAATTTTAGATTAACTTCTAACTTCAGATGTTTTTAACATGAACATCAGTTAGATAAATTAAGACTTATTTGAACACATAGATAAACCCCAATAATAGCACAAGCGATTTAAGCTACCTGATTAATTTTCAGCAAAGCACCTCGTTTTGGCAAGATTGAGGAGTTCCGGGAATCAATTACCATGGCATGCTGAAAAGAAGAAAAAAATTTGGGTTAGGTTCTTATATCTGTTGAATGCCTCGAAGTGACACCATTATTTTCCTTCCAAAACTGTGCAAACAGTGGAAGACAAGCACAGCTCCAGCTAAGATCAGTGTAGCTACATAGATTTGGGAAAAATACTCCTACAGACTGGCTTTGTTTGACATTTACAGGCCACATGAAACGCATACGTTTATATTTTCTGCACATGGCATGCACCAGAAACAGAGCAGCAGCCCAGCTGCAACCCACCAGTTTGCAAAGAGCTTATCTCCTACAGTTTGCAAGCTGTAAGTGAAAGATATCAAGAGACCAGAAGCTGGCATTGGAGAGAATGTTTACAAAAGGCTTAGGATGAGGAAATTTAACTGTTCCTGTCTGCTACAAAACAAAGCAATTCTGCAAAAAGAGATAGCAGGTGAGACAGAGGGAGAACAAGCCAAAGCCTAACAGTGAACTGTAGTTCCCTTAATTCCCTGTTCTCCTTTTGGGCCTCCTGAATTACTCCATGGCAATGACCAGACACAGCAAAAGATGTCTGAAGGAAAACACATTCCCTCCAAAGACAAAAAGCTCCTTTGGTATCACTCCTAAGTATGAGATGACTCAAAGTCATGTGTTTTTAAAATATTATAATGAAAAAGCCTTACAGAGAGAGAAGATTTTAGAGAGTGTCCACTTTCCTCTCGAACAGAAAAGGATGCTGTTCTAGCAAGGCAGCCAAGCTCCCTCCACACAACTTCCCACTTCACTGTGTGATTGGTCTTCCAGATGGGAAACTACAATAAAGAATTGAAAAAGTCATTAAAACAATTGTTACAAAATTAAAAAAAATATTTTTTTATATTTGAGTCTATGGCTTTCTTTCCAAACTTCTTGAAACAGAGAGAAACCCTTTTTCATTTCAGAGTTATGCTAATTCTGCTCCAGCCAAGAGAGTTAGATACGCACTAATTAATCCATTCCAAATGAAAAATATCTTGAATTGAGCTCATACAGCAAATGAGGCAGTCAGCTGCTGCTATGAAATGATACCTTTAAAAAAATTGAAGAAAAACATACTGGCATTTTTATACAGCCAAAATGAGACTGAACTGTAACAAAAAATTCCAAGATGCACGACCTCTGCCATTTTCAAATCACTGACCTCTTTCAAATAAAGTCAAGTCCTGTGCATGATTGATTCAATTATTCAAAAAGTAAAAGAAGTACTTCCAAGAGCCCAACTGAAATGTAAATGAAGTATGTGTTACACTTGTGCTACACTCACATTAAAATCTGTTGATATTCCTCTGTCTGTTTCTCGAAGAGAGCTCCAAGGGAACTGTCCAGTTACTTTGTATACATTAACTGAAAAACTGAAACACAACATTACTGGCAGGTTTGAAAGGGAAACTATTTAAAGGTACAGCTCTGAATAACTACAAAAATTTAAGAAACGAGCTCTGCTACATCATTACCAGACCCTTAGGAAAGAATAAATGTAATTCTTACTCGATGATCTTATTAATTGTTTTATATTCTTTCACTAAAAAAAAAAAAGAAGTAGTGAAAAACACATCCCCTACTTTCTTTCAAAGTCTCCAGGCCGTGGTTTGAAGAAGGACAGGCCATATGAAGTTTCTTTTGTTCCATAGGAGAACTGGAAGGTCACCTTTTCTGCACGTCCAAGGAGATTTGGGAACTTGAGCCCAAGCACCTACAGAAAATAAATTAAAAATCCTCCAAAACACTAGACAAACAAACAAAAATCTCCCCACACCATAACATTTAATATTTTTTGCTGTCTTGCATCTAAATCATATGCTGAAGACAGAGACATCATAAGAATTAGAAATTACGATATTTTAAAATACTTGCAACTGAATGTGTTTTTTTTCTCAGTTTTCTCTCTGCACTGGCAGCAAAAGCCAACAGTGCAAGTTACAATCAAACATCCAATTTTTATTGCTGTTTAGTAGCTACTGACTTAATCACTGAGCCATCAGTACTGATGTTATTTCCAGCAAAATCTCCAAGCCCGTCTCAAGGCTCTGGAGAACAAATCTTTGGCACAACAAGCAGCTGCTCTGCAACTGCAGACTCTCCCACTGATCCTCAGGAAAAACTCCTATCAGGGAGGGTTCATCAGAACTAAAGCAAGGGAAAATTATCCCTTTAGAGCCACTTCCCTGTAGTTTTGTTTTGAGCACCAAGATCCTTTTGCAACCAGACCTGATGGTGACACAACACAATTCTACAATTCTCCAGAAACTGCTGAAACAGTTTTGCCTATTCTGACACAAATTCCTTGCATCCTTCAGGCAGCTCTTGCCACTGTGACAGAAAAGATGAAGTAGGTTTCCTCCCAACACAGACACCACCACTGTACTATTGTTGTGTGTTCTATTGAAAAAGAATACTAAAAAACTACCAAATCCTGACTGCCTTTGTCTGGCAGCTGTTGGAAGCAAACCAGTAACCTGAGCTTTGTAATCATGGCTATTATGCCATAAAAAGAAAAGGCTTTTAGTATGAAGTACTAGATGTATAAGATTCAGCTGAATTAAAGGGATTAGAATAAATAAATCTATTCAACCCTTAAGGAAAAATAATCTGGGTTGCCAATATCAGTGTACACGAGTCTTGCTTTTAAGAGCATTCACAAGTTTTACTTCTCTGTGATAAATTAAAATCAAACAGAAGAGGAAGCTGAGCACAAAAAGAAAAACCCAAGCAGCTTTCAGTCAGTTCTGAGCAGCACTGGAAGCAACAGGCAGGATTCCCTGCTGGTTTCCTTCAGGCCACAACACCGTGGACCTGGCTCCTGGCAGCGGAGCTGCATAAGCAGCTATCAACTCAACCAGTTCCAACTCTCCTTGCACATGCAGAACACCATCACCTGAGTCATGCGGGATCTTATCCAGGTTAAAAATACCCCTAAGAGGAAAAGGATGAGTCCCTTGATCTGGCTTATCCACCAGCCCCAGGCACAGCTGCCCTGTGCAAGTGAGAAGGCAAAAAGGGGGCAGGATGAGCACCTGAAAGCACCACCTGCTCACAGCAGCACTTCTGGTAAAAGCACATTCACAGACCAGCAGTACAGCTGGTACTTCCTGGGGCAATTGGTAAATATTGGTTCATACAAGATTTTAATCTGACGCATCCTTAATTGAGTCACATGAAAACAAGTTCCAAAGTTTGTAGAATTCATGAAAACCTACAGCCCAGAATAATTCATACCAGGCTAAAAGAGAAAAACAAGAAAAATTTCTAAGTCAAACATAAATAATTTTGTCTGAGAAGAAAAATACTTCAAGTATATCTTATAGAAAGAAATGCCAAATTCCTTACTAATCTCTCCAGTAGATGAAACATTTTAAATAGTAGCAAGAAATAATTCAAGAAGTGTCAAGAATTAAAAAACTAACATGCTGAGCTGGAAGCTACAGCATTGCCCCCCAGCTCAAAACAGGCTTTTGCTGAATAAAAGCCTGGCACAAAGGCCTGACAAAGCCTTAGTAAGGCTGGATCAAGTCTGGATCACCACATTTCCTTGCCAGGCTTGAAACTGAAAGTAAGAGGAATATCAAAAGGCATTACTAATAATTTGAAGTAATCCATACCATGCTGCCTTCATTGTTGCCAACCATGGTGTTATAGCTCCCAGTTAACCTTCTCAATTCTGTTACTTCAAAGGTCACATCTAAACCATTTGGAAGGGCATCATCTCCTGAATAAATAAATGAAGTGCCTGTTATCTCTAAACAGACATTTTAAAATTGCAGACAGAAGGTATCTAGAATTATTTGTAAACTGAGTTAAGGCATAAAGAAGTCCATGCTACAAAGGGAAATGGCTTGAGAAAAGGATGTTTGGATGTGAGTGCAGAATTTGACCCAATCACAGGATTACAGCTTTAATCATTTCATGCCAATGTGATGTGCAATACAAGTACAGGACACATGTTCAAGCTTTCCCTCACACGTTCCTTCAAACTGTGGATTAAGGAAAGCTTACTGTCATCATTGTAAGTGCTGAAAATTCACTCATGGACATACACATATATGCAAACACATGCTAACAGATTTCCTTTATAGGGATAACTGATGTAGATGCATTTGTATCCACAGCACACCCACCTGTTAATCTAAAATATATATAAAGGTATACAAGACTAAGTTACACACACAAAAAATGTCCAAGATATTACACAGAGAAATATATATTACAGGTATGAATATATGAGAATAAAGGTGAGGATAAAGAAGGGAATACACACCTTGGCAGGTATCAATCAGAACATCCACCTGTCTAAAGATTCCAAGACGAAGCAACTTCTCACGAGCTTCATGTGATTTTCTCATCACCTACAGCATGAGAAAAGTTGCTCAGTCATAGAATCAGAGGATATTTGGGATGGAAGGGGCTTTCAAGATAATCTCGTCCCTTTGAGTCTTTCAGGTTAACAAAAAATAATGAGGATATATTAGTTAAAATGCAGCTAAGTTGCAAAATATTCACAGATTTTGTATATAAAGACACACATGTGCACCCTCAAAACAGAACACGACCACTTTAACACTTGCATCTGCAGAAATAATTTAAAACCAGAGCATCTGGCTCAATACCTTCATACCTTTTGTTAGTTTGCTTCCTAATTACTTTAATAGTTAAAACAGTTATCCAAATAGGTTCCAGTAGTTACACCTTATTTAGGGGGCCCCTGTTCTTGACAGAGTTGCCCCATGTCTGAAGGGAGTTGCCCAAAGCAAGAAAAAGAGAAAAAATTTAATTAATTTTTAAACAGCAAGTCTGTTATTCACTGCAACACTTACATCAATGAGATTTTTTGCCTTGAAAACATCAGAGATTTCATACATGATGATGTCATCTTTGGTCCTTCCAAGTCCATCAAAGTGCACATGCTGAACCACCACCTAAACACAACAAATCTTTACACACAAGTACTGGATTTGCATCTAATAATGAGGATCAAGGTCATCAATGCACAAAAATTATTGTGAGAAACGCTGATGATTCCTAGGGCTAATTCCTGCTAACCTACATCATCAGAAATGACTGCTTTCTCAGATTCTGGGACATTGTTCCCATAACACAAAAATTAAAGAAAAGAGATCTCTAACACCAAAGTTAACACTGGTTGTAGCAGAAGAAACACTGACAGACTGCAGCTGCTGGGGTTTCAGTTATAAATGTTGTATGGACAAAGAAGCAACTGCAGAAGTCACACAAGTAGTAAGTACATAAGATAGAATTACGTAGTTAGTCATAGTTATTTGCTACTTCTTTTATCAGCTATACATAAGCAAAGAATTAAAAGAAGAAAATCAAACAAGTATACAAGCCACAAATACTTAAACTCTGTTAAAATCATCACTACCACAGAAGCAGTGCAGTTTGAAATGAAGCTGAAAATCACTCCCATTATGAGGTTTTATACTTTCATTTTGACACATAATCACATGAGACAATTTTACTGCAAAAATCACAGCACCTTCCACACTACTCTGTACAAATGGGGTCCAGTGATTGCATTTCCCTTATTTTTCCAATCTTTTCAGTGAATAATAATTTTAGGGGTAAATGTCAAAAAAAAATCTGTTTCAAATAGTTCTCAAGGATTGGAATAGACTGCCCAGGGCAATCACCACTCCTGCAGGGATTAAAAATCATGTGGAAGTGGCACTTGGGACATGGTTTAGTGCTGGACTTGCCAGTGCTGGGTTAACAGTTAAGACTCTGTGATCTTAGAGGTCTTTTCCAATTTAAACAATTCCATGATTCTATACCAGAGTTTGTAAAAGAGATTATGCAGATTATAATAACTCTATCAGAAATATCTGTATGACTCTGTCTATTCATGTATAATAAAAAAGCAAAATAACAACCTTCTATTACTGCCAACTGCCGAAAAAACTGCCAAGGTGTTTATTTCTCTCAAAAAAATTCAGGATGTTGCTCAGGCACTTACATCTTTGTTTTCAAGAATTTCCTGCTTGCTCTCAGGTTCAACTTCAACCAGTTCAGCTTCCTCTCCCAAGGCACCAAAGTCTGGCCCAGCCATTGGAAGAGGCTCCAAACTCTGAAAGCATAGAAGAAAACAGCATTTAATAGGGTACACAGATTTGTGATTGGTGCCTTTTGTAAATAAGAAAAACCCGTGGTTCTCAACAGCAGGCTCATCCAACCCTAAGGGAAAAAAGCAAAAGAGAACTAAAATGAAAGGAACTACCAGAACATGTGACACCTAACTACTTGCTGAAATTTTTAATGAAAGCTAAATAGCTTCCACATTGACTGATTTCTGAAAAATACTCTGCATTCTTCCAAAAAATAGCCTTAAGTTTTAAGACAGGCTTCTTGAGTAAAAAGATGAATTCCACCTTCTTAAAAAAATCTAAAAGCTCAGGCTGTCACTTCTCTAGTTTGGGTTTTAGTAGGTAGAAGACTATGAATGCCAAACAGTAAAATAAAAAAGGGTGTTCTCAGAATGTTAGTTTGCTTTGCATGTATTTATTTGCATGTATTTATTTGCCTTTGCCTTTTCAAATACATCTCGAGAAACTCAGGTTCTGACCTTCAGAGGCAAACAATTTAATGAAACACAGCATGGCTTTGTTTATTATACCTGAAAGACTCCTAAAAGGAGACTTATCAGAATAGCTGCTTTCTTGAGCAGCAAATTGCTGTTGCATATCAAAATCCAGTTAAAAGAAGACAGAAGGTTCTACCACTGCCACAAATTTCAGACAAGCATGAAACACTCTGTCTCCACACAATATTGTCTAGCAGTTCACACCACAGATGGACACAAAACAGAGAATGCAAGCAAAAAATCCTGAAACAGAAATTACATTAGTCACGGATACTCTAGAGCCTTAACTGGAGGCAGCTCCCTGCATTTGTTCTTCCGCCTTAAAACTGAACATTTAGACTTCTATGTTTCTTCTTTAAGCACTGGTAGCTGGATTTGGAGGTTTGTGCATCTATCCACGATGATTTCAGGCATGTGAGGTCCCTCAGCCTCTCCAAGTAATGCAAGGCTCCAGCCTCCAAGTCTCACCAGGGGCGCTTCTCTTTGCACCGTGTTTTTTCAGCTGCTTGGTTACGGGTTTTGTTTGGTTTGGGCCACTTTTATTCTATTTTCATTTCCCCCAGCCTCGTTCTTGCCAGCCCACCCCCTGGGGAGGTCAGCTCTAGGAAAGCCTCAGGAAAGACCTGAAAACGACCCAGGTATTCTATAGGGAGAAAATCAGTAAAACATTTATCTCCTTTGGAGGGTGCTGAGGCCCTGGCACAGATTGCCCAGAGCAGCTGCGGCTGCTCCATCCCTGGAAGCGTCCAAGGCAAGGCTGGATGGGACTTGGAGCAACCTGAGACAGTGAAAGGTGTCCCTGCCCACGGCAGCGGGGACGTGTCACCACACGACCATAAAGGTCGCTTCCAAGCCACCAGTATCAATGATTCTATAAAACAACCAGAAATGAGCTGGGAAGGAAAGGCGCCTCCGAGCACCGACACGGGCTCCGACCCCTTCTCTCTGCCCCGGCCCGACGGTGCCACAATCGGCGGGCTCGGAGGCGCGGAGCGGCTGAGGCGGGACACGGCCCCCGATGGCAGCGCCAGCCCCGCTCCCGGCCGTGCCGTGCCGTGCCCGGCCCGAAGGTCGTGGCGGGGAGCGCGGGGCCCTGCGACCTTCGAGCGGCCCCGGGGCGGCTGCCCGGGTCCCACCCCGGCGGGTCCCGCCCCGGCCCCTCCCCAGGGCCCGGCGCCCCCC